TTTTTTTTTCAACTTTTCGCCAACTTTGAACAGTTCATTGTTCTATAACATTAGTTTAAAATTGTCATCGTGTTCTGACCAGTATCCTGAAGAAAAGTTTTGAGATGTTTGTTGTCAAATTTGCGTGCGTAGTATATATAGTCAGATTTCATTACAACTGTCACCATTCACGTCAAACGCTAAGAGTATCAGTTACTGTATCTCTGCAACTTTTCAATTACAGTTTCTAATCATCTTATTTAAATTGATTATTTCTGGCAATATCTAATGTTGCCTAAAACTCAACTTTTTTGTTTCAATTTCTTTCAACTTAACAAATTTCTTTTGAACAAATTTCCTATCCTCTATGTTTTCTTTTCAGAAATGAATCGTACACTAATTGTAGTTCTCTTGACTGCTTTGTTAGTAGCGCAAACAAATGCGCAGTGGGGTTGGGGTTGGGGATATGGTCCTATGTATGGTGGTTGGGGGATGCCATATTACGGTTATGGATATAGAAGTAAGTTTGCTGCATTCACGCTTCCTGATTATAGATATGAGGTAAAATAATTTTCTTCTAGATCCGGTAGCTGGTGCTGTACGAGGAGCCATTTTGGGCACAGTGTTTGGTGCACTTTCGGGAAAGAAGAAATAGAAACAAATGATGCGAGTTTTGTTGTTCAGAGGATTGTTAATGGAATCAAAATGTCGTATATTTTTCAGAACTACATATCTTTTGAATTTAATCCGCACCAAAAGTATATAGTTAAGTAGTATATAATTTCAATTGTTTTGTTCAATTGTTTATATTCAATAAATGATGCGTCAATCCCGTTTACAATACAACTTTTGCACAACGCTTGCATTACCTTCAGGGGCATAAAAAATTTCAACTAAACTTTACAAAGACAGTGAGTGAATAGATATCTAAAAATTAATGTGATGTTGCAAACAATGTACTTCATTAGCAGCAATTATAGGTAATTTTGCGTAACTTCCGAAAATCTGTACGATATTTTTTAGAAAGTAGCGCAGATGATGTTAGCCTTGCATAACCTTCGTTTAATCTCTGAGGATGTGGATTTTGCTTTTAAGAAGCGATCTGGTCATTGCTGTCATGTCACATCACAGCTCAGAATTACCTTATCTACAACAATTGTTCTAGTACTATTTATCAAAATTTTTAGCAGTAATCCTCTGTGCACTGCGCAAACAGGGTTTGGCCTGAGGTGCTAATTAGAGAATTTTTTCTTTTTTGAAAGTTCAACTATCCATAAATCCATGTTGAGCCAAAGGTTATGATTATGAGAGTGAGTAAAAGATAGATTCTGTGCATGTGTTTAAGAATTAACAAATAAAAAATACTATCATCTGCTTCTCTGAACCAGGTAATCTTCCTTTTGGTTTTTTATAGTCAAAATTTCTAAAATGTGTGTTATTGAAAGATGGCAGAAACCACGGGTATATTCCCACGTTCTAGTAGCATGGGCACTTGAAATAATAAGAACTAGGAGCTAAAATGCACAACGAATCAGAAGAAAATAAATAAAAGACGAATGATTGCAAAAGGGTACTGGATTTGTCAGAAGGGAGGAGCGAAATAAAAACACCTTTCTAATCGAATACCTCACATCACCCAAAGGCACCAAAGACAGCGAATATACAATTTTCTACTTTGAGTTTTTTTCTCTTTGCTGAACCAATTAGGTACGCTGAAAACGACCATTCATCCCAAACAACATGAGACTAAAAAATGAAACTGGAGACATTTAGACCTTGTTTTTTGAGTGACGAGGATGCAAAAGACCATCTTACCATCTTTGACCCTCGCCTCGGCAGACAACTGTCCTAATTCCATGTTTTCTTCCCA